CGGCTATTGTCTGCATGTATCGGAATAGGCTGACACCCTTTCCTTGGCCTCCATCTGTTTTGGGTAAGGGTAGGGTATGGGTAAGGGTATGGGGGTGCTCTGGCATACTGCAACAATAGCCGGCGGATATTGGGCGTATAAAAAGTTACATATGTATGTCCGGGGCGCAACTTCAGCTGCCAATTGCGGGGAGATTGGGTATCAGGGGGAAGTGTGTTGTGTGTGGGTGGGTGGCCCGGGGGTCTTCAATTAATTTCATTTAGGGAGTGGCGCACAAAGACGCCCCTGGCTACAGCTAAACACATTCTAACAAAGGAACACACACACACAATGGCCATACACACAGTGCGGCATACTCGCAATATTTTCAATTAAGCTGCTACAATACCAGCGGAATAATAACAATTACAACATGCACAGGCACAAGTGGAGCAGCCAAGGAAACCTTTTAAAGGATGTCGGTAAAGGCGAAGACGAAGTCAGTCATCCCTTGGTAGAATTTTGTCTTCTTTGTGCATTCAGTACATTGTTTTAAACATTGCAAGTAATGAAGAAAATTAAAAGAAAGAACTAGAGACTTGAATAAAAATTTAATCAAGAGGTAAGTCTGTTAAGATTAACTAAAAAATTAAGTTAAGGCAGACAGAATAAGTCTAGATTAAGTAAAGTAAAACCTTTTGAGTCTATATTTATTTTATTTAATTTATTAAAATCTAAAAATAGGCAAACACCGACTATCCTAGTTCTAACCTGGCTCAACATAAAACCGAGATGTAGGTGGCTTCATCTCTAGAGATGTTTTTGCTGTAGCAATTACTGAAACTACACGTCAGGGGAGGTGGTAATGTAGTGTGGATTGTGTGGGGAAAAGTTACATTCGTTCGGCAAATGAATTGCTGACAATTACTTGAATTTGTTGGCTCAGTCAGCTGGGGCAGATGTAGAAAAACTTGGTGAGCGGCAGCAATCAGGACAGCTGCCACAGCAGGCGGCACTAAATGTGTGCCCATTGCTGTTTAGATTGTAGTTGTTCCTTGTGGGGTTATGGTTATGTCGAAGGAAAGTTTTGTATTGCATTAGTTTTGTGTCAATAATAATAAAAATGTTCCTCAATATAAGTTTAAGTACTTTCTATCATGACATTGTGTTGCCAGAAAAGAAGGTATTGTAACATAATATTTGTAAACAAGGTAAGGTAATAGATTTTGTATAAATTTTACCCAATTAAAACTAGATTTAATTTCTTTAGAAATAAATTCATAGAACAAAAAGGATCCAATTAAGTTGAAATTGCCTCTCGCTCAACACTTCTTTGGCCCCCATCAAATATTTATATCCCTCGGAGAGGTCATTAACATTCATTTAGCTGACAAAACAATGCCATGAATAAACAATTAAACGCTTTTTAAATGTCCAATGCCCAAGACACTGAACTCTTCTGCTCCAGGGTAAAAACAAAGGTCTCACACTTGAAAACTTTGCGGAAGTGCTTTTGTTGAGGGCTTCCAAGAAATATAATAGAATCGCAGCATCTTGAGTTTCAAGCTGGACAATCAAAGAGTCAACAGTTTTGCCATAAAATGCAATTTAAACTATGCACGTGTTAATTATTTATGCCCGACTCCCCAGATTCCAAGACCAGAGACCAGAAAGGAAAAAATTCCATGCCCGGTCCGATAAATCAGCGTGGCCATAAGAAGCTATCGCCTTGTAAATTCCACCAAGGAGTTCCTTGCGTAAATTATACAAATTATTATTTAACTCCAAGCAGCACAAACCGCAGTGTTTGCATTGGTTCATACACAGGGAAAAAACAATTGTTTAATAAGGAGTCAAGCAGTTGAAGAACTTCCAAAACTGTTTATATAATGGATTTCCGAATTCTTATTTCAGTTTTTATAAAATGCATGGTTTTTAAAATTTCCTCTTATGTTTCACTGCTCTAATTATGATTTCTCGCTGTGCATTTCCTGGCATGTGGCTGGGGCTCTTGTTCTTGGACAAAAGTTATGCACAGACAAATCGCTTATTTAGATTAGAGCTGACAACCGAGAGGAGTCCGGTTGTTCGGATGCCAGAAGAAGGAGCTGCTTGTGCGCAGGCGCAACTGCATAGATACAGATACATTCGCGAGATCTTCATTCTGCCACAAACACACACTTTGTTGACTTGTTTGCTTTTCCTTTCCTGCCCTCACTGGAGGCATGCTTATGTTGTTCCACAAACTACCAGGCTGTCCACTTAGGTTAAGCTCAACTGCCATGTAATTGTGGGGCGAATCCCAGCCCGGTGATCATTTTCAATTAGAGTCCCCATCGTGGGGCGTGATTTAGAAGCTGTTTGCTGTGCGGGTAAGACGGTAGCTGGTCGCTGATTATGGGATAAGTGCGGGAGCATCGTTTATAAAGCCAAAGCTAACGAACCAATGACTTGGAGCACTTTGCAGATTGTCCTCAGATTAGTGTTCGTAATAAATGAGAGGCTGGCCTTCTTGAGAGGAATGAGCGAGGTGTTGTCTAGACTTGTGATTGCACAACAGCGAGTGCAAAAAATAGAGTCCTTTCCACCTGACATTGCGCATTTGTCATAATAAAATTAGCATTTGCCTGGGTCAACAGGAGACGCAGGACTCACAGCACAGAACGGAACCGGACAGGATGCAGGCCACTGGGGATGCCAAGAGCAACAGAACTTATCAGAGTGTGTTGACAGACAGAAGGAAGCAACTGAACAACCAGAGGAAAGGACCTTGGACAAAAAAAACATAAATACACTTTACACAAAAATTTGCAAAGTTATGGCAGGATACAAAATTTTAAACTTCCATAACTAATTAAATTTCATAAAGATTTTTTGTGCTTTATATAAATAAATAAATATTTGATTTGATATCGACAATTAAAGTCTACTATCGCAAATATAGAAAATTTTGAAATATGTAACATTTAAAGTTAAAATGCTTATATTATAAAAAGAAATGGTAAGAGATATTTGTATTTTTTAGGAATTTCTTTTCGGTGAAGAATTAGAATATAATTTAACCAAATATGAAGTTAAAATGTATTATTTTATGTAATATTTTTTAAACAAAATTAATAATAACCTTTCAAATATCGATACAGCAAATCTAATTGAATAATTTTAAGCAATAAACAAGACTATGAAGATATTTTTTTAAATCTCTTATTTATTAACTTTCTATTAAATATTTATATTATAAATAAATATAAATAGCTTGATTTAGGGCACAAAGAATATCGATCAAACCCAGTAAATGAATGTTTTTTTTCTCATGATTTCCTTTAAATTGACTTTCGCTGTCCTGTTTCGGAGGCCACTCGAAATTTCATTACCGACCGCCTCCAGGATAAAAAAGGATGCGAAACAGTTTCCTGTCTGTCTGGCCGATAAACATTGAAGTTTTCCTGACTGCTTCGACTCGCAAAATATTAACGAAATGGCCAATTCAATTTGAAGTCTATTAGTCTCACATTCGATCTGATTGCGATGCCTCGCTTTAAATGACCAGCAAAATGCTGAAATCCTTCAAACTCAGTAAACTGGGTAATACTTTGACTTGCCAGCGGCAATATTTTGCTGACCAAACGGAAAGAGTCCGGCATGTAAAGCGAAATCAAATCACGTAGAGTCCGTTCCGGGACTGGCCAATATCTGCTGACCAAATTTCACGCAGCTGCAACAAATCAAAGGGCAAAATGTAGCCCAGCTCAGAGGGACTGTGAGAGTGTGTGTGTGTGTTGGCCTCGTTCGAGTGCTAAATAAATTGAAAATTCTAAAATTTTAATAAAAATTGTCGCAATATTGCAATAAAATTCGCATGATTGGCGGCCATCCCCTCTCCCATCGATTGAGTAAAAATCTGATATTTAAACCTACCATGAGTATCACGTGCGAAATGCAATTGCACTTTTTTGCAAACATTTTGCTATATATATATAGATCTCACTATGTTCCTTTTTATTTTTTACCATCTCTTTTCGATTCATCCACTTTGTGTGTGTGACAGTTGAATTGGAGATTTTGTTGTTGAGTCTGTTTTTTGGGACAAGGGACAGGAGCACTCCGGTGTGACATTGTAACTGATATTTAAATTGTTCAATTTAGTTTGCTTACTTTTCTCTGTAATCCCATTTCCTGGTGGTTTTCTTTTTTATTCTTAAACAGTTTCGAACTGTTACATTTTGTGCAAGTGGTTATCGTTAGCGCCATTGAACTTTAACGTTCTTTACTTTATTAGTTAACTTATATATTTATGATAATATATTTAAATTATTTATTTTTGAATACAACCAATTTAAGGTATACGAATGTGATATATAAATCACTAGAGGATTAAAAGCTTTAAAGTGGCTACAAAATGTAAAAAAGAAACATATTCAGTATCTCAAAAATTGAAACCCTTTTAAGGGTTTGAAAACCCAAGAGAAATACAGATCTATTCGAATTTCCCTTCAACATCCCTTTAAATAGATTTATTTAAGTTAATGCTTTACTGATTAAAGGAATTATATAAACATTAATTTGTTTTGTTTAAAAAATAGCATTTGCTTTGATTGTTGAAGCCAAACAATTGCTTTAAATTGCATTAATTTATTTACTTTTGAAATCTATTCGCATTGATTTCGTACCCACACTCACGGCGAAGTAATTTAATTGAATTCCATGCCGTTTTTAAAGCGAAACTATCAGATTAATTAATAATATTTATGTGCGGTATTCGATGCACACGCCGAAACAAGCGGAAAGCATTGTTTGCTCGTTCGATTTTGACAGATACATAATTAGTTTTTGCACACCAAAAAGGCCGCAGGTGCCGCGATGCTGTTTTCATTTGTCCAATATATGTATTTATATAAAATGGATTCAGGCGATTGCCACTTTTTTTTTGTTTGGTCGGCTCACAAAAGCCATCTATGCTGGCGTATTTTATGCGCGAGAGCTGCGAATGGATTTATATAAAAATGTTTATGGATATTTACCTCGAGCGGCAGCGGCGCCAATGCAAAAGCCGAATAGCAGCAGGCGGCAGAGCCAACTGGATGTGCATGTCCTTGTCGCCATTTTGTCGAGCTGCGAAAATGGCGGCGTCTTTGGCGCCATTGCGTTTTGCTTTTGCCAAAAAAATGTCACAACAGCTGCAAAGAGAGTGGCGAAAAAAAAGAAAGAAATGTGTAAAAGTGTTGAGATATTTGCTGGAAATTCCCGGTCCCGTTGCAAAACAGTTTGATTTCTTAACAGCGCTGACTTAATTTAATGCAAAACATTTAGTTTCAATTGGAGTATACCACCCATCCTTAAGAACTTCGATTCGCACTCCTTCTACCAGACAGACCAATTTTTCGCACCATAAAATTCAAATCAATTTCGCTAATTAGCAAATTGGAAAGAGGCTCTTAGAGAAGGGTACTGCACTGAGAATAAATTCAAATTATACGCTAAAAAGGTAGGTAATGGCATTAATTTCTAAAACGAATAAATTAAGGTAAATGCAAAAAAAGTATTTATTAAGGCAATAATCTAAACAAAAATAAAAACCTGTTTAAAAGTGGTTTATATTACTTTAACTATGTATTAATATACAATAGAATATAATTAAAGAAAAGTAAATGGTCTTTTTTAATGTTTAAATTTTATAGGAAATATCCCGAATTTTAATATACATTTTTCTGCAGTGCAAAAACATATATCTTTGAGAAACTTGGTCCCTTTTTCCTCTTTGATTTTCCGGAAAAAGGTGTGATGCGTGTTTCCTTCACTGTCACTTACTATCACTTCCTCACCCCATGGATGGCTACTTTACGGCTGCTTTGGTTTCATTTCCACACTTCCATGACCCATATCCCTTCGTCCTTTGTCGTTGCCATTTAATAAGTTAATTGTTACTGCCTCTGCACTTTTGCCCCTTTTGAATTTATGATTAGCCACAAAACGACGAGCGAGAAGCCAAGTATTTAACGTGGCTCAAGGACTTGCACTTCCAAGACACAGTCCGCTCGGCACCCACTTTTCCCTACTGTTACCATCCGCTTTTCCGGCCATTTTCCACTAGCAAGTTTACTTTAAGCCAGCGCAGTGACAGTTCCACATAAATGTCAACTGCTGCGGTCCTGCTGCGCTTTATGCAGTCCGACTTTTATGCATTTCTAGTGCTTCCTCTCTGATAGAATTCATGGCTGCCAAGGACTCCACATAGTAGTCCTGTTGCCCCTACCCCGACATCCTGCTCCTGCTCCTGCTCCTCTCCATCTCATCGTGGCTCGTCCGAGTCATTATTGTCGTCTGCGTTTTTACTTGTAACTGCTGCTGCTGCTGTCCGACTTTGTGTCAACTCCATAATTATAGTTTTCTTATATCTCTTTTTTTGTGTTGAACAAAAAACTTTCAATGAGCAGAGTACAGTGGTTGCCAACTGGACAATAGTTTAACAAAAAAGTTGCTAGCCTTTTTTCGTGTATTTATTTATAGTTGATAAATTTTAAACTTACTGTTTAAATTATACATTTATGTATATGTAATGCTTTGAGTTTACTTCTTATATTAAAACATTTAAAATGAAATCGTTTCAATTTCTGCATTTATCCTTATCGTCTCACTTATATAAATCCTTCAAAATCACAACAATGACCATGGTTATATCATTTAAAGTTACTCTATATGGGAGTATGGCAGCAGCCATACACATAAAGCTGCAAAGATTCTATTAACCCAAGAAATTATGAGAAATGAAAACTTATTACGAGAAGTCATTAAGATTCAAAGAAAAGTTGAAAAAGTAAAACTGAAAATGAAGCAAAGTCAAAGCGTTCTAGCTGTTGCAGTTGCAGTTGCTCAGCTATATATATATACTCTATATATATACGTGTATAGTTGAGATCGAGAGAAAGCGTACAAAAACTGTCGTTGAGTTAAAACAAAGCCAAGGGAGGCAGCGGGGGTGATAAAGGAAAAGGCAGAGCCTGCCGTCACTGGCAGTAAGTTTTCCTTTCCTTTTCAAGTCCCAACTAGTTGGGCGGCAAAGGAAAGTCATAATTGTTAACGGGCTTTTAGCTTAAGCGAATTTCAACTGCAAAAATCCAGCCAGTACATAATACAAAATTCTGTTTAAGTTTTAATTAGATTTTTAATATTTGTTAAATGTGAAATATGCTATGCGCGCGCACGCGCTCTGGAGCAATAAGTTTGATTAAAAAACTTTCGCTTCACGATGCATGTTAAATCACTTTTTGTGCATTGTGATATTTCATATATTGGATAGTATATCGGTTTCCTCTGTTTTTTTATAATTTTTTGTTGTTGCCTTTTAATGCATGCCAGGTTTAATGAGCCGGCTATTAAGGAGCACCATCATTACGCAATGTCAGTTGGCACTTTTATCAATGTTTCCTGTCAGTTTCGAGAAGTTTGCGCCGCGTCACGACGTCACGAGTGTCAGCGCCAGCGATTTTCATATTCACTGTGCATTTTTATCAGCCATTTGCCGACTCATTAAGCGAAACGTCAATGTCCCACCGACGCTGCTGTCGCCCATTTTCCATTTACCATTTTCCCATTTTCCCCTGACCACCACCTCATCTACCTTTCCGATTCAGATTCAGATTCTTTTCGATGATGGCTTGGCTGCATTTTAAAACCTTCACTGCCGATTCAGTTTTACATGCCTTTAATTGACGTCGTCATGTAATGAAATTCAATTTATACTGCATGCCATTAATAGTAACTCATACTGATGCCCCGAATGCAGAGAGAACAGTGACTTTATCTTAAATGCTTAATAACTAAAGACAAATTAACTCATTCAGTTTAAAATCAAACATAAAAGCTTCCCTCTTAAAGATGGTACAATAATGCCATAGGTTGCTTTACTATATAATCATTTTGCTTTAAGAACTATCCAAGAACAAGATATAGTCACTACTTTGTGGCTTGAAAGCTAAGTTTTAAGGATACTGATGAGAATCCTGGCACAAATAAAAACCTACTTCTTCTGATCTAAGATCGTCTGTGGATTGCATGGCTTAAATCAACTTTGTAAGATTCTTTTAGTATTAAAAATAAATCTTAAAGTAATTTACAAATTACCTACTTTATATTTTAAATGCATTTTTACTGTGTATTCTGGAATTCCTCACCTCATCTCAATGATGGGCAAGCGAAGTCAAACCCCTGACATGAATATGCAGCACGTGAGCAGACGAATGATTTGCACGTCGTTGTCGTATATATATATATATATTATATATTCATATATAGTATATGTATAGCATGTTTTTAGCAGAACCACAGCCATCGAACATGAAAGTTAAGTGCCGGACAGACAGCTTTAATATGGCAAGTGCGAGGCTTCATATTCCCTTGCTTGTCATTTATATTAACATGTTATTTTATGTGGTGTTAGCCTGCTAATATTTTGTCTTTTGCAAATTCTATTGTGAAAGCCAAAACAATTGTACAATATTGTTGTGAAATGAACTTGTAAGGCAATAAAATCTAAGTGTGTTTGCAGAGAAATTCTCTAATAAATGTCGTCTACAGACATATTCTCCCTAAATGCTTGAGATAATAATTTTTAAGGGTCTTTGGCAACAATAATTAAATTAAAATGCATTCTTAAGACTATTCTTCTAGAGTTTTAATTTAATTGACCAAGTTATGAACATAAATAATAAAAATATAAATAAGTTATAGTTTATTATTTCCTGCGTCACTTCTCTTTTAAAGCCTTCATCCTACACAGCTTAAATTTTGTATATATTCCTCTTTGTGAATCACAACTGGGACATTCCCCGGCTTCTGTCTCATTAACCGATTATCTGAATAATTTGCATTTAAAATCTTACTCAGTAGCCTGCGAATGCAATCAGAATGAACACAAAAAGAACAAGTTTGGCTTGGGAAAAAATTAAAGCGAGATTAACAACCACTTAAGGCTTATATAATTTAATGGCCCAAACATTTTTCTGCTCATTATCGCCGGAATCTGGCAGCGGGTTTTTTAAAGTCGCGTGCCAAGCTACCGAAAAAAAGGAATGTTAAAACACAAAATACAAAATACATAAATAAGGGGAATAATATAAGAGAGACAGAATGAGATCGGCTGTCACGATTTCAATGAAAATTAAAAATCTCAGCATGCATTGAAATTGCGGCCAAAGCATTTTAATTAAAGTCCAACAATCTAAATTGTTGTGTCCGCTCGCCAAAAATATTAATTGACTTTTCCGACGTCGCGACGGGTTCGGAACATCATTAACGCAAATATAATTACGTGACAATTTGATGGTTTTCCACTGGCGACTCTCCTCCCCGAGCACAAATCACAAATCGCAAATCAAAAAGCGAAAGGCAAAAGGCGAAATTAATTACACAGAGCTGCCCAAGGACCACCCCAGCGGCGATATTGGGGCGTGCTGAGCCACCCAAGGGATCAATCAGTGCAAAGTCGCGAAGGTAAACAATAAAGCTCCGGCTGCGACATTTACACAAACATCGTTCCACTGTCCACGATTTCCCTCCAGTGCCCAGTTCAGGTCAAGCGATTCGGTTTGGTCCTGGTCGGTCCGGGTGTATATTTAAAAAAGGGTCGCCGACGCTGTTTAACTTTGAAAAATTAAAATCCACTTGGGTCCGCGCCACGACCATACCCAAACCCAAACCCAAAAAAAGGAAACTCCATCTCCATCCCTTGGCTAGTCTCGCATTTTTCAATGGCCAAATAATAAAGTTCCCGCGAATGTCAGTTGGGAGTTATAATCTGTTTGCCGCTTTTTCATGGTCGCCATTTGACTGCCCAGCGGCGGCAGAGGAAAGGGTATACTACACAGGACGATGCTTAGGACATGTTCATAAAGATTATGTTATGAGCTTCACATATAAAATTGGTAAATAAATGAGTCATTTGGGGGTATAAATAAATGTAATTACTTGACCTACATATCCGTTTCATTTACAATAATACTTTACCAAGGCTTTAAAAAATACCTCTTCTTAATATTTCTTAGTTTGAATTATTTTAAATTAAACTAGACTTATTATAGTGTATATCCTACGTCGACTTTAGATTCCCTATTGTTGTTCTTTTTGTGTGCTTTTCCCGGACCCTC